AGTTTCAGAGGTTATATACAAGACCAAATAAATTAAATCTAGAAAATCTAGTCTGCATTGGCATTTAAAGGATGAGACTGCACATACATTTCACACATGGATGTGTATTTGATTTTGGTTTCAGTGAGTGTTCAATTTTATGACTCTTTTTGAGCAAATAGGTGCTGCTCTATAAAAAAATGGAAACAACAGTGCCCAGCCTCCTTCGCAGGACATACTGGAAGTTCTGCAGTAATTTAGAAAATGGAACATTCTACGATTACCCACTCAAAGTCAAAGGGGCCTTGTTATAGGTGCCTGTATGAGGATGGAACTGTTGAAAGACATTTGACTGTCCTGCACTGAATAGATTTCTGAACCAAGGGGAAATGCAGAATTGGAATGACAACTGACAATGAATGAATCTCAGGATCCCACAGCAAATAATTAATAAGTGGTTTCAGTGTGACTCTAAATATCACTGTCAGAGATTGTCCAAAGACAAGAAGTAATGTATTTGAAGCAAATCATGGAATAGATGGCTCAGTGGGTGAATGTGATAAAGATGAACAGCAAAACAAATTGTGCTAGTGTCTAAAGAGTTAAGTTGGCCCATGATTGTCTTAGTTGCTTATTCGTCTAAGTGTGCTGTCTTAGTCTGTGGCTGTAATTCAATAGTGCGAGATGTTAATCGGCTGAACTGTTATTTTGAATCCCTGGACAAAGCAGGTGAAAATAGGGTCAAAAGAATACAAAGGCTCAATCTTTAAATTCTGAGAGGACAATTCACTGCCATCTTTAAAGAAAGTGGTTCTTCCTGTGAAATTGGAAGACTGCATCATTTTACAAGTTCTGATATCATCAGGAGTGACATACCATTATTATAGGGGAAAAAATGAAAAAAGCAAAAATGCATTTGGACACAATAAATGAAGAAGTGTTTATATTAGATAAAGTAATTTCATGGAATCGAGACATTATTATATTCTGTTGTAGAGAACAGCAGCTTATACCTAGAGATCTACAAAACATGGCTTCTATGTTGGTCAAAAACCACCTATCTATTCTAATTGTATTTTCCAGCACTTCCACAACCTTGACATCGCACATGCACATCCAAATATTTCTTAAATGTTATTAAGGTTTCTGCCTCTACCACGTGGAAGTGGTAGGTTGCCAACACCCTCCGTGTGAAAAAGATTTCCCTCACACCTCCTCTAAATCTTCGGCTCTTTACTTTAAATCTATGCCCCTGGTCATTGATCTCTCCATCAAGAGAAAGTTTCTTCCTGTCAATGCCAATCATAATTTTATACAGCTCCGTCATGTCACCTCTCAATCTCCTTTGCTTTAAGGAAAACAATACCAGTCTGTCCAACCTCTCTCCGTAACAAACTCTCCAGCGCAGGAAACTTCTGGGTAAATCTCCTCAGCACTGTCTTATTGCTGACACATCCCTCCTACAATGTGGATTCCTGAACTGCATACAGTACTCTAGCTGTGGCCTAACCAATGTTTTACACAATGCTGGCATAAAATCCCTGGCCTTAAAACTCAATGCCTCATCTTATAAGGGCAAATATACCTCTTCACAACTTTATCTACCGGTCCTGATACTTTAAGGGACCAGTGTACATGCACACCAAGATCCCTCTGACCTTCGGGGCTTTCTGGCATCCTACAGCTCATCATATTTTCCTTTGCCTAGTTTGTCCTGCTCAAGTGCATCATAACACATAAATCTGATTTGAACTGTTTGCCACTGATCAGCCCAACCAACCAGACCATCTACATCCTCACATAACCTAAGGCTATCCTTCTCACTATTTACTAGCCCACCAATTTTCATATCATCTGCAAACTTACTGATCAACCCACCTATATTCAAATCTAAATCAGTTGTAGAAACTATAAACAGTAAGGGCCCAACATTAACCCGTTATAAAAACAAAGTTGCTGGAAAAGCTCAGCAGGTCTGGCAGCATCTGTGGAGGAGAAAATAGAGTTAATATTTCGGGTCCGGTGACCATTCCTCAGAACCGGACCTGAAACGTTAACTCTGTTGTCTCCTCCACAGATGCTGCCAGACCTGCTGAGCTTTTCCAGCAATTTTGTTTTTGTTCCTGATTTACAGCATCCGTAGTTCTTTTGGTTTTTATTAACCAGTTATAACCCACTGGACATAGACTTCCATTCAGAAAAACATCCATCAACACATTTCCCTTGTTCCCTGCCACTCAACCAATTGTGGATCCAATTTGCCAAATTTCCTTGGATCTCTTGGGTTTTTAAACTTTGCTACTAGTGTCTCATGTGGGACCTTATCAAAAGCCTTGCTGAAGTCCAAGCTGACCACATCATAAGCACTGCCCTCATCTACACACCTGGTCACCTCTTTGACAACTTCAAATCAAGTTGGTCAGACACAACCTCCCCTTAACAAAACCAACCTGACTGTTTTGATTAATCCCTGCCTCTCCAAGTGCAGGTTAATTGTGTACGTCGGAATCGCTTCCAATAGTTTCCCCACCAAAGGTTAGACTGATTGCCCTATAGTTTCCTGGGTTATGCCTTGCTCCTTCATGAATGATGGAACATTAACTGTTCTCCAGTACCTCTCCTGGGCATTTTCATATTCCGTTATGTTGGCCCTGATTTATCAGTTAATCCCTTCTTGTAGAAAATATACTTTTTTTTTTTACAAGTATGAACCAATCAACCCATGACTTTCCTGCGATGTCAGTGTTTTGATTTGTTTCCTCCAATCAGTGATCCCTGAATCTGTAGTTGTTAAACTAGGATTCCCTTCTTTCAGTTTAGTTCAACCTGAAGAAAATAGCCCTACAAACTATGAGCACTGAGAAAGGACCTTACAAACTATGAATAAAACAACAACGCAAAAGCTTTCCCTGTGCACTAAATTTCTAGTGTCACACTATTACTCAGGTTGTCCCTTCTCTCAACTGGTTGTGCAAAACATACTTATTGCACGCTTTAAAAAAGTTCCTTTCTTAAATAGAGCTGGGGTGAGCTGAAATGACTTGAACTTCTTGACAACAAGTTAAACAAGAAAAATTACTGACCTCTGCAGATACAAGTCTTGCTGATGACAGGAGGATTATATAGAAATTGCATAAATCATTCACCCAGACCTCCTCACAAAAATTAAAGTTAGTTAATGGATGTCAAAGTCATGGATAAAGAACACGAATCCCTTGTAGAAAAGATCACATATTTTAAACATTACAAGATACCACCACAAATGGTTGCAAGTGTACCTTTAATCTTGGAAATTATAGCAACCGACATCAGAATGATATGCCTACCAAGTTTAACTTATCCATGGTGATAAACAATAATGACAGAAGGACTATAGTCAGCAAAGTCATGGAAAGGTGGGTCGGCACAGGTTTTGGGTTACCAACAAAATTCCTAATTGAAAATGGAGCTGCATTTGTAAATTAGGAATTTCAGGGTGCACGAGAATTTAAACATTATACAAAAGTATATTGTTGCACAAAATCTGTTCAGCAATGTGCAAAAGAAATTAGGTTCCAAAATAGACAAGGCGAGCCAACAGATCTCTGCAGTCCTGCCACATCCAGCCATGAATGGTGGCAGACAATTGAACAACTCACTGAAGGATTAGGCTCCACAGACATCTCCATTCTCAATGGCGAGCCCAGCATACCAGGCTGAAATATTTGCAACCAACCTTCAGCCAAATCCTCCAGATGTCCCCAGCATTAGAGATGCCAATCTTCAGACAATTCAATTTACTGCATGCGATATCAAGAAATAGCTGAAACACTGAATACTGCAAAATCTGAGCCCCGATAACATTCTAGCAATAATACTGAAGACCTCTACTCAAGAACTTGCTGATTCCCTAGCCAAACTGCTCCAGTACAGCTACAACACTGCCCTTTACCCAATAATGTAGAAATTTGCCCAGATATGTGCTCTGCACAAAAAGCAGGATAAATCTAAACTGGCCAGTTACCAACCCATCAGTCTACTCTTGATTATCATTAAAGTGATGGAAGTAATCATTTACAGAATTACGAAACATCACTTATTTAGCAATAACCTGCTCAGTGACACTTAGTTTGTGCTGCGCAAGGACCACTCAGTTCCTTACCTTATTGAAGTCTTGGTTCAAACATGGACAAGAGTTGAATTCCAGAATTGAGGCAAGAGTGAGTGCCTTTGATATCAAGGCCACATTTGATGAAATGTGACAACAAGAGTTCCAGCAAAACAACAGTCAATGAGAATCTCTCCACTGACATGAGTAAGACCAAGTAATTTTAAGACTTAGCAGCTCAGGTTTGTCGAGTGGAATGTGTGATCTGTCATATGTGGGAAATCAGGAACTCTACTAGTATCCTAGATGACCATTAGAAAGGTTCCCAGCTGCTGAAAAGGGAGGGTTAACGGCAGTGAAGTCACAAATTATGTTTTGTTTTAAGTACAATTGAGCTTGTTCAGTAACCAGAAATGAAATGCCCTATAAGAACGTGCTTTAAACGTGAGGTACCTGTGTATTTGAAGTGAAGTGAATGACTACAGAGAATGGGTGGTGGAGGCTGGAAAATCATTTAAAAAGGGTAGAATTCCATAATCAAAAAAAAAAATCAGAATTCAACAATAAATCAGAATTTTTTAAAATTTTGATTTGCTTCAGAATTATGATTGTTCACAATATTCCCTTGAACAGATGAGCAGTGTTATACAATCAAAAAACCAGTGTTCTCTTTAATTGTCCAGATAATATTAATATTGTTGTAAAATATTTTCTACTCCATTTGCAGCATAAAACAAATTGCTCTGCAACAACTTACCAAAGGTATTTAGTTAGCACCTTCCAACTCTGCAATTGCTACCATCAAGAAAGCAAGTGCAGCAGACACACAGGAACACCACCATCTGCAAATTTTCCTCCAAGTCACACACCATCATGTCATGGAACTGCATCTGCCAACCACATAATTACACTTAATGTATGTTACAGCACTAACCTGGAGTCCTGCTTCCTGGAACTTTCATGTATAGTTGGACTGTGTTCATTCCAAGAATGGTGTGCCCTACATGGCTCAACAGGTTCCCTGCTGATACCACACGCACAAAGGCAGGCAATTTTGTTAGTTCATGGAGCTGCGATTTCCACCTGAAGCAACAAGCAGCAAAAGATTTATGCAACATTCAAGAACAAACCTATCATAGAATCACTGAATGCCTACAGTGTGGAAACAGGCCCTTTGGCCCAACAAGTCCACAGTGACCCTCAGAGCATCCCACCCAGACCCATCTCTCTTTTACCTACCTAATCTACACATTTCTGAACAATACAGGCAATTTAGCATGGCCAATCCACCTAGCCTGCACATCTTTGGACTGTGGGAGGAAACTGGAGCACCCGGAGGAAATCCATGCAGACACAGGGAGAATGTGCAAACTCCACACTGACAGTCACCCAAGGGTGGAATTGAACCCGGGTCCCTGGCACTGGGAGGCAAGTGCCAGCCACTGAGCCACCCTAATGTTGGTTTCAAAATCATCTGTGCAGTTTAAAATATTCTGGTTGCTCAAAAATGTATTAATATTCTAGTTCTTCACCATCACTTTCTCAACAGCATTTGACAAATTTTCTATATTCATATTACCTTAAATGGATATGAAATTATTGCATGGCTATCAACAGACTCCTGTGTACCTCACTGGGCATTTTCATGTTGAAGCTGTGGCAGCAAGATGTATGGTGAGTTATATGGTGACATAATAACTACATTTAGTTAAATTCACACAATCTACACCCCAAGAGCTACCCGCAGTATCACCGGGAACTGTAATGGTCTGAGACCCAATCTGAGGATCACCACTGGATTCTTAGAATCAGGCAAGAAGAATAGGAGTGAAGTGGTTGGGGGCAAGGGGTGGGCTGTTTGGAGGGTTGTATTTAACAGTGAGGCCATTGTTACTACAGTTCTAATTGAGATTCAATTACTTAGAACTGATCAAATATTGTCATACAGCCTTCACGTTCTGCGTTATTCAGCGTAATTGTTTATGAAGTACATTTTCCTCATCCTCTGGCTCAGTAGTAAAGGGCACCTTTTATGGCTCCAGTAATTTCAAAACAAGGTCTCTTCATTAGCTAGTTACTGAAATTAGCACATCACTTACAATAATGCTTTCATATTGATATGATACACATTTTTAAAGTACTTTGCAGTAAATTTTATATAACTCCTGTTGCTTTCAATCAAACTCTCTATATTCGCTTAAGCAGAAAATTTTGATTCAACCAATAATCTCCCCCATTTGCTTAACATACCATGGTCCCAACAGCCAAATGTCCTGCCAAAGCACATGGAGACCTGGCCTCTGCTCTCACGCCTTCATCTACTTATCCAAAATGACTTGGGCTCCACTGCCTACCTCTAATCCCCAGGCCTGCTGACCCTTAGACTCACTGAACTCGATGGAGCATTGGTTCCAGAAGCAGCAGTGGTGTCCCTTTCCCAACCTACAGCCCGAAGAAGGGCATTTATTTTCTCGCACCAGTTGCTGGCAGCTGTGGCTTTTAACTACTAACTAACTTTATTAGTTGTGAATCAGTTGCTCTGTGCTTCCTACAAGCAAGCGAAAAGTACCTGGAGAAGAGAGATCAAGTGCTTGCAAGTCAAAAGGATCATCTCTGTGCATCCCATGGACAGGGGATATTATACTGCCTTGCCAGATTTTCCCTCCACCCATCACAGCAATGCTTGTTTTGTCTGCCTGTAGTGTGCATGTGTAGCAGAAAGTTTGATCAGGAGGTTAGAGTTTTAATTAGTAGAGTTAAATGCTGACGGCTCATTAATTGTTTACATGCAACTAAAATCTATGATTTTATTAAAAAACAGTCAGTCATTCTTACTAAGTACAGAAATCTGAATCCTGCTTTCTGTCAACCCAGCTCCAAAAACTTGATAAATTAGAGAATTTCGCATATTTTAATGAAATCTTTAACTTTTGTGACAACTCCCGTATTAGCGGGGCTAGATCTCTGTCACACTCCCAATGAGGTGTGACAATGAGAAAAAATGTTTTGCAATGCAGTGTGAGATTAAGATTGGTAATGCATTATCTGAGAACATGGCAAAGAGAGATTCAATCATGGTTTTGAAAAGGGAATTGGATTAGCACCTGAAGAGAAATACTTTGCAGTACAGGAAAATGGTTAATGAGTGGGATTAGCCAAATTGCTTCTACAAATAGCTAGCATAGACACGAAAGGCTGAATGGTTTCCATCTGGACTGTAACTATTTATTCTAGGAATTACACCGGAATCATACAAGCATTTATTCAGCCGAGTACAAGGAGCAATTGATTATGCCATTACACCAGTCCTGCCTCTTATGAACAAATCTACACGGAGAGCAGATCCACACTTTCAGTGCATTTTAGAACACAGATAAGGGGGTTGGAGACCCAGTGGAACCAGATACCACTGCCAAATTCCTGTTTGCCTTAGCACCATTGAGTAAACATATCTGCTACATTTGTTATAAACAGAGGGCACTTTGGGACAGAGATTTATACAACGCAAGTTAAACATACAAGAACCATTTCCAAACATATTTGATCAATTTTATCAGAGGGCCACATTTGCAATTACTTTAACACACTGAGCACATGGTGCATCAAGCGTCCAAATGTGCATCTGCATGTGTAGGAAATCCTGAAAAAGGAAGAACAATCTATCCTCTCATCAAATTTGACTTTTTTTTGTCATAATGTCAGATCACTGACATCCAAGCCCAAAGCTGAAACAATATCATGCAAATAATATAAATTTACCATTTTCTTGCATGTCTTTGTAACAACATGGGAGACAATTGTTGTATCTGGTACTAATTTATTCATACCATATTATTTTTAATTGGTCACTTAGTACAATAAAATTAAAATATTTTTCTTTTTAAGCTATCGAGCTAGAAAGAATACTTAAACCAATCATTTTCAATAGCTCAGGATTTCACTAATAATTTAAGAGGAAAAAGTGTGGAAAACAGAATTTAAGATTTATTACTACTTGTTCCATTCAGTGTCCCTTTGTTTTAATCAAGACTGCATTTCATCCACACTGTTATTCAAGACTGATTACAAAGTGAAAAATGTTGAAGAAAGTATAATTTTGACTGTTGACGAATAGGTTAGAAGTCAGGAAAGCAAGCCAAACATATCAGTCATTCTTGTCTGAAGCTGTTATGGAAACTGGTTCTCTTCAAACGAAAGATATGCTTCTTTAGGCAGTTTATTAGACCTATCAAATGTTCCATTTCAAATTTATTGTCTTGACTTTTAATGCTACTTCAATGACTTGTATAATGGGCTCTCCAACACTTCATTAACAGATACATTCATATTAGTCATCATTTCATGATAATTTGCACTCTAACCAGATATTCTGCTTTATTAAAATCAAGTTTGCAATTAATTTAAAGCATCAAACATCTGATTGCAATGACTACACAGAAGTGTTGAACATCTCAATTTAGAAAATTGCACAGACTTACTTTTTCTCATCTGACAAATCAATGTTGGTCCCAAATTTTATGGTCTTGAATGGACCTCTCCTCTTTTTGTTACCACTGTCAAAATAAAAGTGATAACCGTGAAGATTTTCAAATTAAAAAAAAATACTTCGTATCCTTCAGTAACAAAAACGTACTTATCAGAGGATGTGGATTCATTATCTGATTGGTCTTTGTGGTGACTGCTCTTTTTCTCATTTTCCTCCTGCACATAAAAAAATTCAAATTAACAAAACACATATTATTACATAACATATTTGAAGCAGCCATTTTAATCAATTGTAAGGTAATTAGTATTTGAGCAACTGATAGATCAACACTAATAAATATTTATGGCATTCTATTCAGTCTCACTGAACCTGTGTCTTTATTTTTATTGCACAGTGTCTACTACTCAAATGTAGTGGATTAAAATAAAAGATTTTGCTGAATTCTCGCAGTATCTGCAATTATAAGCAGTATATTTCTTAAACAGTCATATTTTGTTTGCATGGCATTTGTAGAAGCAATACAATGAAATATATGGACAGGATTTTAACTGGCACATTAGTAATATTAGAGAATAGTGTGATTTATCTTTGTCACATGTAGCAAGATACAGTAAAGTGTTATGTTGCATGCTAAACAGGCAGACCCTACTGTATGAAGTGCATCAGGGCTGTAGAGCAGAATAGTATTACAACCACAGAGAAAGTGCTGAGACAAAGAGATCAACATTAATCATTGAGAGGTCCATTCAAAAGTCTGATAACAGCAGGGAAGAAGCTGCTCCTGAAATTTCTCGCATGTTTGATGGAAGACATTGAGAGAGTATGAACGGGGTGGGAAGGGTCTTTGATTATGTTGGTTGCTTTCCTGAAGCAGCGGGAAGTATAGATGGAGTCAGTGGATAGAAGGCTAGTTTGTGTGATAGACTGGACTGTGTTCATTACTCTCTGTAGTCCCTTGCGGTCTTTGGAACAGCAGTTGCCATACCACGCTGTGATGCATCCAGATAGAATGCTTTATATGGTGTATCTATAAATTCGGTAAGAGTCTTTGTGCATGTGCCAATTTTCCTTAGCCTCCCAAGGAAGTAAAGGGGCTGCTGTACTTTCTTGACAATCACATCGCTGTGGAACATAGACAAAATAGGGGTAACCCTTGCTAAAATATTGAGTAGTCAGGCTTGCGACATAGATGGAAAGGATGAGAAAATATTAAATATTCCGACAAAATATTTTAAAACAAAATTTATAAAAGTAAACCCTGGCAAATGTAAAAATACATTTTTAACATGCTATGGAGTACATTTAGTGCAAGAAAGTAGAAGGCTAACCCGCAATGATTCCTGGAATGAGGAGGCCTGATATTGTGCATATTTGGCAATCGTGGTGTGTGATCTACTACTCTCACAGCGCCAGATCTTCTTGGTTCCAGTGGAGTCCCAGTTTTCATCTGGCGGCTGCAACAATTGTGTCCGCACCTCCACTAGATGTTCATTATTTGCTTCTACCAAAGTTTTGGTGGAAAAAAGACCTAAATCTGCAACAGAACAAAATTAATTAAACTAGTGAGTGCATGAATTATCATACACAAAATTTTGAAAGAAAAAAATTTTTTAACTAAAAATTTGGAATAAACCTGAGGACAAAGAAACTGCATTCGCAACAGGATGGAAGCAACAGCCATCTGTACACTGACATTTTGTTAGGACCAAGAGATTTTATCTTACATTAACCGCTATGCAAATTTAGAAGGTCAACAGTCATCATCAACTGGGCACCGTTTTGAACTCTGTTGAGACCAATTTGGATCTTAACACTACTGCATGTATTTAAGTTTCTTTGTCACTTCTGCGGATTGGAAATGCCTCTGTTTTGCCATAACCCAGGAACATGTCTATAAGCATTCTGAACTTATTTCAAAATTAGATCTGCGCACATATGGGCCAATGGTTTACATGCAACTTAAATGTTGGGAATCGTAACTGTAGCACAAAACAAAGCATTTTTATTTTTAGGGCCTAATTTATAAATTTCAATAAATTGTAGTGAGGAAGAAAGGTTGTTCTGCAATGTCTCAGTATTATCTCATACATCTCATTCTGCGCAACAGCTGGGAAAGATACTTTGGCCAAAATTTTCAAACCGATCAGGTTTGCAGATTGAAGTGGGATGCAGTTTGACCACCGGCCACTATACCAATTGCCCATCATGACCACAGTTCAGCCATTTTGGATGTAGGTGGCTCAAAGTCAGATTATCTACCAGTGGTTAGAAGCAGTTGGTCAACTGAGGAAGATATGTCCCTTTCTTGCATTGAACTGATTTACAGTGGGTAACATGGGTAGCTCAGGTTGTTTTTTTTTGGGGAGGGCATTGGGATTGAGCAGGAAGTGGGGCTGAAACGCACTGCCCCACACCCGTAACCCCTAAGTGGATCCATAACACTGAGCACTGGCTGTCTTCTGAAGAAGTTGCCAGTTAAAGATTCAGGCCAGTTAACTACAACTTACTGAACAAAAAGTAAATATACTGTCCTCTTGCCCCACAAAATCTCACATTCCATCTCCAGATTAGCAGCTTGCAACTTGCCTTTTGGGGCTGCTGACAGCTGAGTGCTGGAGAACCAGCCATGTACCTTCCAGTACTGAAGGCCTCCACCACATCTGATGGACTGGCCATCCCTGAACTTTAATTGGCTCTCGTTTTTGAAAACCCATGTGGGAAAATTTAAAGCATGTACTGCAGAGTTTGAACCTAGAACTGAACCCTATTTCCAGTTCCTTATACCTGAACTCAGTCCTATTATTTAAACAGGTTCAGTACATGATGAGGAAGCCAGAAGTCAAGACAAAAGTATTTCACAAAAGAGCAATTTACAGCCAGGATAAAATCAGAGCTTTCCCAGATTAAACAGGAGAAAGAATTGCATGCAGAATTAATCAGAATCAAGAATTAAACAGGTCAATGGAACTTGTTAATAATATAAAAAAGGTCTATTCTAAATGAGACAATAAAAAAGTACTGGAGACACCAATAGGATGATTAGATCAAATTTGAAACTTCTGCAAGTGCTAGTTGAAATAACTCGAGAGGCTGGTAAACCATCACAAAGTCACCCTTTATTTATACGTGGAGAGTCCTTGACACTGATCCATCTCCCTCAGATCCAGCTCTCAGTGAACAAAGCCTGTGATGCTCCTGTTTGTGTCTGCCAGGCAGGGTTTCCTGATTATACCAGATTAACAGCCCCAATTATGGAACTCTTATTTTATGAGGTACACCTGACTGGCCCGTTATAATCGCTATACTGGGAAGTAAGAAAGTCAGGAAAAATACGAGTATATACGGGCAATATATTGGGAAACATCTAATGATCAGGAATACAAAATAATCTTATTCCAAAGAATGCCATGCAGCAAATTGTCACACGAGCAGTTCAAATTGAGGATACATTGCTCAGCCTTATGTAGAATAATTTGACAGTTCTCTACATGTTAAAAATAAAGATGAATCCAATGAAACTACTTTCGTTATACTGCAGAAATTGCTTTAAATGTATATTATTCACAAAATTATCAACATGTGCTTACTTAAAAGATTAATCAATTACTTCTACCATTCGATGATCAAATTTCAGCTTAATTGATTTTTCTTGCTTGGGCTATGTTACACAAGAGTAGGATCCCAAAAAAAAAGCAATCCTCATCCCAGGATGTGACGAGATTATCAAAGAGATTCACACTTCATTGCACAGCACATCGAATATTTTTTAAAAAATACACTTTTGGGTATCTTTGGATGGACCAGCATTTATTGCCTATCCCTAACTGCCATAAAGAAAGTGGTCGTGCGCTAATTTATTGAACAATTGCAGCTCGAGATATAGGAACAGCCACAATAATATTTGGAAGAAGCAGTACCAGAATGAATCAATCCCTAAATGAGAAACAAGAGTTATAATAATAAATCTTAATAATATTATGTTGCTTATATTCAGATACCTACCTAGCTTGAGAGCCCCAGCAAGGCCACGGATTACAGTAACAGGGTTGTTAGGGTTTGTACAGAACTGATGAAGCGGAGGAAAGAAAGCATCACGTTTGTTCTCCAACTGCACAAAAAATAAATTTTAAAAATAAAAATTAAGCCTCGAACTATACCTAATTAACATAAATGTTAAGAAAACTCAAATAGCTACACTTGACAACAGTATTGTAATATCTTTAATTACAGAAAAACAAAAGCAGCAACTAACATTCAAAGTTAATTTAAACTGGATCAAAATCTAGTATTTACATCAACTATTGATTTCATTATCTAGAACTTGGCTAAACAGTAGTTTTAGGTGACGAATATCTTACGATTTGTCACAAAAACAAAAACACAAAGAAGTCAATTACTAGTACTAATTTAGAGCAGAATGCTGCATCTGACTTACATAAATACTAGGCGTAGGTGGGTTTAGCTTGTCCTTTGGCAGCGGTGGGTATGGTGGTGGTAGTGGTCGAGGAGGTGGACACTTATCGAGTAAAATGCTACTATTAGATAAACCATTTCTCCCCAGATTTCTGGAAAAAAGGTATTATTTTTGTAACATTTTCATTAACCCCATTTGTACTTGGCATACACTTATAGCATTACATTTAACTGCTAAAGGACATTCAATTCAGTGTTTACTTGATGGAACAAAAGAAAGCTTAGCAAACAAGTCGAAACCTCAAAAAAGGCGTACATATTCAAATACTTCATAAGAGCAGCTTACACAGTCAAATGATTTAATACAGGATTTGTATGCAAATCCAATATTTAGAGAAAATAAAATCTGCACAATTACACAATAATTTCTGAAAAATATTTAATTAAAGGTGGTAGGCAACTTTCAAGATCTATTGAAAGGTAACTCAGACATAGATCAACCAGCAATTATTTCTAAAGCGCTAAAACTGTTGACAGAATTTTGGTGGTGACTGGGTGCTGCAATGCTCTTTACCTTCTGGGTCCAGGATAAACTCATTGCAGGGCTGACAAGATTAAATTCCCCTCTCTGTCTGTTGACTGAAGAATCCAACGTGACATGAGACCTGCTATGTTCATTGCTGGCAAGAATGGTTGCAAAGCACAGAGCAATCACTCTGCCTGTACTAACAAACTCAGTCTTATTCAGAGAAAAGATCGGATATAGTGTCTCCCCTGACTCTTGCACTTCCACACATAGGCTGCCTTGCTGATCTTTAAGGGGCCCTAAATCTCTCCCCAGTTATCCTTTTGTCCTTAATGTATTTGTAGAATCACTCTGGATTCTCCTTAACCCTATTTGCCAAGGCTATCTCATGTCCCTTTTTTGCCCTCCTGATCTCCCTCTTAACTATACTCATATTGCCTTTATATTCTTCTAGGGATTTACTCGATCTCTGCTGTATATACCTGACATATGTTTCATTCTTTTTCTTGACCAAAACCTCAATTTCTCTAGTCATCCAGCATTCTCTACACCTACCAGCTTTGCCCTTCAGCCTAACAGGAACATACTGTCTCTGGACTCATCTCATTTTTGAAGGCTTCCCATTTTCCAGCTGTCCTTTTACCTACAATCCCAATAAGATGATCATCCCTTTCTTATTTCTCAGTTCCACCCAAATAGCTTCCCTGGATGTATTCCCAGGAATATCCTCAAGTACAGCCGTAATGTTAACCTTAATCAAAAACACCACTACCCCTCTTCTCTTGCCCCCCTTTCTATCCTTCCAATAGCATCTATACCCTGGACCACTAAGCTGCCAGTCCTGTCCATCCCCGAGCCACGTCTCTATAATTGCTATGATATCCCCCCCGTCCCATGGTCCTATCATGCCGAATTCATCTGCCTTACCAGTTAGGCCTCTTGCATTGAAATAAACGCAGTTTAATTTATCAGTCTTATCTCATTCTCTGCTTTGTTCCTGCCTTCCTTGACTGTTTGATTTGTTGCATTTCCCAACTATACTAGTCTCAGACTCCTTCCTCATTATCTGGATGGTTACATGAATATAAAGGATTTAGAGGGACATAGACCAAATAGGACTAGATTTATATAGGATATCTGGTCAGCATGGACAGGTTGGACCGAAGGCTTTGTTTCCATGCTATACATCTCTATGAAATCTATGATAGCTGGGATAAAAAATAAGAATACGTTACATTGGTGTACTTTTGGAAATGGACATATTGTTAGGGCAGAATTTTAAGCTCAAGTAACTGTGAGCATGAAATGCAAAGTTCAATTCTCCCATATGAACATTCCTCAACTTGAAAAGCAAACAAATTTAAACTTCAAACTAATTTGATAATTCAAATGGAAAATTTAATAATCTACATATAAATTTTAATCAATTATCATCTCTGAAAGGGATAGTTGTAAATGCTTTTCGCCAAATTAGAACTACATTCTACGATGAAAAGAAAACCACATTGAAACTCATTACCATGCAATGAATTTGGCAGCACTGTAATAACTAATGAAACTTTTCTTCTTCACCAAAGCAAAATTGTCAAATATATTTTAAGGACTTGTTTGAAACCCACATCAGGATTTCATAGGTGATGAAAAATTAAATATACAATTTATGGCTCAACAGAAACTAGAGTTATGCATTACAGCCTCCCTACTGCAGACATCCACTGCTCTCGAAGCATCTGAGAGTCCATTAGACATATGAAAAAAAACTGCTAAAATAAACTGCAATTAAAATAGAATTGTGGTTTGTCTAACCCAGAAATGATGTAATACAATGAAAAACAGGCAACAATGTTCTTAGCCATTGTACACTGTTTGAAAAGAAAACCACTTTAAACACATCCAGAGTAAGGATGAAGCAGAGGACTTCCTGCGTATTTTCAAGTGGCTAGTTTCAGTGTAGGAGAATACTGCCAATCGGATCACTTGACTGTTACATAAAAGGGCAAATACACCTATTAACTTAAAATTTACATGTTCCTATCTTCTGTATCATCAGACAAACTTATAAAATGTCCTGAAAAACGTACAACAAAATTAAATAGAATTTTGCTTTTGCAGATCAAAGAGAAAGCAAGAATGATTTCCAGCCAGAATTTCCCTTATCTTTAATAAGATTAGCAATGTTATAAGCAATAACACAATACAGGTGAAAAGCATTAGCAGACTACCCATTTAATTATCACTGTTGTGAGAATTCTCAACAGAAAATAGCAAAAATCAAAGTCAGGACGAACTTTGATCACTAAGAACTCAACAAATGCAGTACTAGAAGATACTGTGGGCAGTGAAAATAGTCTGTCTGTCCTATTTTCATCTGCAGTGGAGAGACGGGGTGGTAAAAACAAAGAGGGAAAAGTTTTCTCATGGATTAGTGGTCTACTATAAATATTGCACTACAAAGGAATATGTTTAAAATAAAAATATGTCAGACACTTTTTAAAACATGGAATTGTGGTCTTCAAGATCTACTGACTGAAATTGTTCCTACATTGAATGTTAGGCTGAAGGCACCTTGTTAAAATATTGCTCAGCCATTTAGGGATAGTTATGTTGTCGTCACAGCAGTACACTTGACAGTTAGGTAATGATCAATACCCAGACAACTAACGGACAATCATTTAGGAAGGTGATAAAATTACAACTGGACACCACAGTTTTAACTTAGAAATAAAACATTTAAAATGGAAACCATATCAAATTTACTACTTAAAACATATTTAGAATTAAAGAACGATCTGTGGAAGATATTACCTAATGACACTGGAATGGATCCCAAGGTAAAGATGAACAAATGCATGGATGAACTAATGCCAATGAAATCAAAATGAACATAAGGCTTTTTAAAGGAATCCTATTTACACGCCAAATTGCTTCAAGTTATTTCTCATAAGGAACCAAACTTAAATTCAATATATTGTTTGAATAGAATAATTTATTTTTAAGACTTAAGAGGATAACTTCAGTTATAAAACTGTACGAAATAGATTTAACCGAGCAAGCTGTCCATTTCATTAGTGAGCCTAACAATTACTAAATTTCAAGGAATATTTCAGGCAATTATTAATGGTGTTTCAAATTGTACTCTTGTTGCAAAATACATTTAAGCAGTTCGTTAAAGTAGATTTTCTTTCCTTGCATTATCAATTCTACTTCGGATTGTATGCATCCACCTGAAATTCACCAATCAAGTTCCATACTTTAATAATCGTATCTTTCAAAAGGTAACTTGAAGCACAAAAATTGCAAAATGTAGAAATACAGAACTATTCAACTTAACTTAAAAATCCATACCTACCATTTTAAAAAAAAAATCAGTTATTCAACCAATGTTACAGTAATTCGTATCAAGTACACAGTAAGGTCCTCATTTTGCTATTTCATACAAATACGAGATACAGATCATCAAATTTGTCTCAATTTTCCTGTTTAATATTTCTCAAGCAGCTAATAACCCAGCTTAAAGGATTATTATAATTGAACTATGATTGGTCTTTATTTGCTGTGGTAATTTCCATGTTTGAAACAGCATTTCAAAAACCATGAATTTTTAAAAAAACTGTAACAGTTGCCATTTTAATCAGCGAGTAATCCATAGCTTTTTACAAAGAAAAGGTTATAACTTTTTTTGACAAGAGGAAATTACAGCTTTCAATTCTAGGTTAACCTGATACAGAATTTCTAAAAACAGCAGTTGTAAAAAAAAAGTTCCCAGATTGACTGGAAGACAGGTGGTCTAGAATTAATGATCTGCAGGAAAAGGCATTAAAAAAAGCTAATTTCCAATTGGTTTCAAGTAAAATCTCAAAATAGTTGTCCACTCAGATTTCTGTAAACGTATTGCTCATTCAGAACAGGCATTAGTACCCAAATCCTGGTGGATCCTGCCTAAAAAGTTTTCGAAGTTGCAAGATGAAGAAAATGCAACCTATTTATTGTTTACACATTTACCCACATTATGTTATATACTGTTTCCAATAGAAAAAATTTTTTTCATTTGTTCATCTTTGCTTTGATAAGGGTTTTACAATGTACAGGTAGATCCCATATAATGCGACAGTTGCGTTCTTGTGTGACCTCATGCCATAAATCGCCATAGAAAATTGCTATACATGTACAGCAGAAAGTTCACGTTATCCAAATGGCATCCACTATTCATCAATCGTGTTACAGCCAACTTGCATTAACGAAACACACATTTTAGCAGAACCACCTGTACATAAACTGCAGTCTACTTAGAAGCCCTTCAGGTACAGATCTGCAATCAATTATTTCTTTACCATATGACAAAAATCCAAGGAATTCCTTTCTCCCAGTGCAGAGAAAATACACACTTAAAAAAAGTTTCCTGAGTTACAGGTGTATAACAACTTGACATTGGCCAAATAATACCACCAAAGCATCGACGCTCTTAATTCAGTTGTTTTAGTGATTAAAAAAACTAGAAGGCTAAAACAAGGTTTCTAGAGTTGCACAAGATTCTATCTACAAGACTGTTAAAAGTTAAGTTAGTGTATTCTGCACTCAGTGGAGATGAAAGAAAATGATGGAAAAATAAAGAAAAACAAAAGAACAGCAGGTGCTTTAAGTCAGGAACAAAAACAGAAATTGCTGGAAAAACTCATTATGTCTTCTGAAGAAAGGTCACTGGACACAAAACATCAACTCTTCTTTCTCTCCACAGATGCTGCCAGGCCTGCTAAGCTTTTCCAGCAATTTCTGTGTTGGAAAATGGGATTAAAATTTGTAAGAAAGCCATATACAAAACCAAAGAACATGGGGAAAAGAACAGTGATAAAAGAATGAGGAACCCGGTGAAACGGGATGGAAAGAAGTCTGTATTCAAAATGCAACTGGATGTACTCAAATGAAACGGTTTCATTTTGGTTTGTCAGAAGAGAAGCTACCTGTATCAAAATGAAATATCTCTAATTTACAGTTCCTGCAGTTTCAGTAAAATAAAATACTTTCTCATGTTGAATGAAAAAGACATTTCAATGAGTTTCATGCAAAAAGAAATCACGGCAATTATATCTCAACCAAAGACACGCAGCATCACTTCATCTCCTCCACCAGACACTTGATCCTGTTCTGCCTAATCTGGTTTAGTGTATTCTGGTTCTGCTTGCTTGCTTACTCATCTGCCTCCAAAGCAAAAATCTACAAGTGACATCAACAAATACTCCATTGCTTCCATGAGGCAAGCAAAAAAAAAGGGAAGGACCAGGGAAGCTGGCTTGTAGCACTCAGTCAATTATAGCTGTGCTCTGAGAGAGTCCATTGCTGCCAATCTGGTGCACAGCACATCCCCAGTTAATAAGCTTTTTTGGTCAATAACTGCTACTATTATGGTAGTCTCCAAAACAGCCACTGGTGGCAATGGGTGGCAGTGTGCAGGAGAATAACAAAACCTATACTGGATTCCAAATATGTCAAGCAAAGCAAACTATCATGATGCGATAAATGGATGTTAGAAAAGGTTGAAACTCTGTTCAAAGTCGGAAAAGTCTTACCCCTGATGGGCTTTTCTTGGAAATTTCCATAACATTTCCAAGTCGCTGGTCTTTTCCAGGTTTCCACAACCCTTTGACTTTTACTTAACATAGAAACATAGAAGACAGGAGCAGGAGAAGGCCATTTGGCCCTTTGAGCCTGCTCTGCCATTCTTAACGACCATGGCTGATTGTCCAACCCAATATTCTAATCCTACTTTCTCCCCATAACCTTTAATTGCCTCTTGAATACATTCAATGTTTTGGCATCCTCCAACAATTCTGATATCTGATTTGTGATCTCTTTTGTGACGACAGAACCAAAGTATGTATTGAGTTGCACAGGCATTTTGTTTGCTTGATAATTCATTCCCCCGCTTCTGTCTGTAGGGAAGCTACATTTGTCTTTACCAATCGCTTTCTGTTCACGTACCTATAGAAACTCTTAGCGTCAGTCTTTATGTTCCCTGCAAGCTTATTTTTTTTACTCTATTCTCCCCTTCTTAATCAACCCCTTGGTCCTTCATTGCTAATTGGAAACTGCTCCCAATCCTCAGATTTATTATTTTTCTCGGCCGACATGTATAACTTCTTCTTTGGATCGGATACTATCTCTTATTTCATTTGTAAGCCATGGACTGGCCCTCTTACCCATTTGGCTTTTGCACCAGACAGGAATAAACAGTTGTTGCATTCCCCCATGCATTCCTTGAATGTTTGCCATTGCGTATCCACTCTCATCCCCAATCAATCGAGGCCAACTCGCACCTTATATCTTCGTAGTTTCCTTTATTAAAGTTCAGCACCCTCGTCTCCGAATTAACAACGTCACTCTCCAGCTTGATAAAAAAATTCTATCATGTTATGGTTGCTCTTCCCCAAGGGGTCTCACACACCTAGACTGGCAAAGATTCCCTTCTCATTACACAGCACCCTGTCTAAGATAACCTGCTCTCCAGTTGGTTCCTCCACATATTGTAAATAATGGTTTTCTTGACCAATGATAATGTTGATACAATGATACAGTTCAAGCTAATGAAGTGGAGGTGGAGGAGGAGGAGGAGTCTGGGGAGACTTGAAAGAACCAAAATGTACAACACAAAAATACTGAGAGTCACTGACAAACCTGTGAAGAGGTAGTTTTGTCAGTAACTGTGAGCTAGAGCAAACATACCCATTTGGCAGTAACTACACATTTGGTTTAAATACCGCTATCACTAGCTTTACAGGCTTTCTCTACCTGCTAAGGTTTGTCAAATCAAAAAAAAATTGAAGTCATCAGCCATAACTTACAAAACGTCAGACATACTCTTGTAGCAGATTTATAATTTAAAGGGAACGGTTTTACTGGCATTATCCCCCGCTGTAATTAATTATTTCTCTACCAAATCTGCATGAAGCTGAATTGGGCTATTGCAACAACACTGACAATGAAAATAAAATCCAGTTTCAGCTTAATACGGAGTTTTTCCTTGCACCACTTGCAATTTTAGACAGTTCTAAATCATCAGTTTAGCAGTATCAGTAATATTCAACATTTTCTTACAAAACCTCATTACTTAAGACAGCATTTTTTTAAGTAAACAGAATTACCTGCATGCCTTTAGCACTTCTGATGAACTGGGGTATATAGAGACAGAGGCTGAAGATGCAAGTTGAGGACTAGGTTTGTGAGCAGTTAATGGTGGGTCCATTTTACAGGGACTTTGAGAGTCCTCCCCTACACCTTTTCCATTGACCGTATGTCCCAGTCCACTCTGAGGGCTGTTAAGGCTGGTAACACTGTTAGCAGTAGTTTGTTCAGTGGATTTAGGAGACGGAGTTGCAGTAGAAACAGCTGAAGATGGTGAAGAGGCAACTGAATTCTCCGACTTTGTGTGAACAGCTGGATGGATATTGTTAATTTTATCACAAGACACAGAACCCCCATTATTATTAGGTTTTCCCATCAACAAGGCAGAGAGCTGAGGATTGTCTGAACTAAGTACACCTGGTGACTTGGACTCTCCACGACTTGAACTTGAAACAGCATTTGCTATAGCTTGATGGACATGATTAGGAAGTCCCTCTATGCTCGCAGTGCTGTTTGGTGTCCCTCCAGAATGCCTGGTTGTCTCAGGCACCGTTGATGCACTTCCTGAAGGCTTGCTCTCTTTGGTTAAGGTAATGCCTTGTTGTCCACCTGAGGTAGCAGTGTAAGAGGAGAGGTGATTGAGAGCAGCCCCCTGTGTTGTTAGTGAATTGTTAGGCATGGCAGGATGTCCAACCTGATTCTGAATACCAGTGCCAGCTGCCTGGAAATGCTGGGAATGCCCAGTGGAAGAGAGAGGTCGTTCACCATTAGGGCCTGCCGAATGTGAACTCTGACCTTTGTTCAGCCCCTGAAAGAGAAGCAGCACTTATTTAATGAAGCTCAACAATCTCCCCCCATTTTTAGTGCCTCTAATGTAAAAACATATCCAAGCACTTCAAGACTGTGGAAATTCAAGATAGAAAAAGAAATCACAAGTAAATCTAACAGTGACCACAACCTTAACTGTAGACAAACCAAGAGATTCTTTCAGAAAATTAAGTGAGTTTTGTGAAGGATAACTCTGAAAAGCAAGACACTTTAATCTAAAGTCTCTGCTTACAATGGTAAAGATGAGAGAAAGACAGGAAGGAGGAAATAGCTTACACACGATGCCCAAAGTGAAAGGAATAAAACTTCAGTCAAGGATGGGAGCAGTGAGTGTATGGATGCAGATTTAAAGATGGGAACAGAATTGGACAGATGAATGGACGTCACTACCAAATGAAATAATAGTTAAGCAGGACAAAATACATGCAGCAGAATTCTGGCTAAAATAACTATGAAATTTGAAGAATAGGAAGTCAATAAAGTAAGCATTAAAGTCACACAGTATGGAGTGGATTACGGTTTTATTAAGGGCTTCAATTGTGTAATGAGGCAGAGGTGTTCAACGCTGAGACTGACATTACTATCATGCCTGAGTTTCTTCACAGATCTACATGCAATTCCCTTGATAACATGCTGCTCCTTTGCAACATCAGAAGGCATGAACAAGTTTATGATGAGCATGAGGATCCACCCAGAAAAATCGTACAGGAAGACTGGTTTAGCCCAACAGGCTCTGGGGTGGAAACAGAAAATGGAATGAGTGACAACAGAACAGAGTTGAAGATTGGATAGACTTAAGCTATCATCCTCATCCTATGTCAAATTTAAACAAGATTAAAATCTATCACAAGACCAAAATTTGAAATGGTTGCCTGACAACACAGAAATACTTTACAAATACAGTGCAAAGGGACAGAATAGTGTCACTAGCATGTGGAAATTGACTCTGTGTCTGCAACTGATGTGTCAGAGGCATAGTGTGCAAATAATAAAAAGAAAAGGACCAAACACAAGTGCTTGGAAAGGCTGCAAGCTTGAATGCAAAGTGCAAATGTTCTAGTTACATTTGGGTATGTAGGAGATTGGAACAACATGACAGCAGTTCCATTGATATTGACAAGTTTTGGAGAAAATTACATGAACTCCTTGTTTTAATTCTTCCCCTTTAAATAAATGTTCTAAGGTTGTTCCTTTTGTATGCCCTTTGCCACATATACAGTGCCATTGATGGCTTTAACACTCCTTACTTAGTTGCATTTCACATGATTACATCTTTCATGTGCTCATGCAACTTGCACAATGACATCATCAGTAGGGCCCTCTGAGAAGGCTTCTAAGAGTTGCCACCATTGTGTCCGCGCCCTACAGTCAAAAGTCATCTTTTAAAACAGTTCTCTCCTCAGTCATTGAAGTTAACTTTGATTTTAAATATTTTTTAAGTTTTTCTGCTGTTTGTACCTACAATAATAAAAAAAACTGTTGTGGATGTAATTAGTTAAAACAAAAACACTACTGTATTTTACCTGCACACTTGAAATAATTGAGGCACTTGTACTGTACCTTTATCATAAATTTCTATAAAGACTTCTCTGCAAGCTAGGAATGCACAGTGCTACACATGTATAGCACAGCATTTCAACTCTGACATTGGCTTTTCAGGTGGAAATTATCAAGAATCCAACACTGAATTTAACATTGAATTTCATGGGAAGCTACACTTCGCTTCCATGACTTTAAGGGAGGACACCTTTTGTTTCAAAATTTGCTTGTGGGATGTGGGCTTTACTGGCTGGCCAGCATTTATTGCCTGTTCCTCGTAGCGCTTGAGAAAGTGGTGGTGAGCCGTCTTCTGAACCACTGCAGCTCTTGAACTTTCAAGAAATGAGTCAACTATTACGGTTGACAAAGGATAATGCAACTCAATCACAAACAAGCCATTCATGTCTTCTGTTTGAGGTTGCTTTAGTGAAGGGAAAAAGCTGGATTGGAGAGGTTTAAATTAAGTGACAAAGAAGTCTGGCATAGAACGGAGAGACAAGAACAAATTCATTGACATTTAACAAAGTGGTTGGAGATGGGTGTTGGAGTGGAAGGATTAAGGTGCTGATAATGTCAGGTTTTAAAGCAGAGATGGTACCAGGGAGAGGAAACATTTGATGAGGCCCAGAGAGAAGTCAGCTTACATGAAGAGCTCAGGAGATGGTGGAATAAAAAAAGCTGTATTTTCCCTATAACCACTATGAGGGTGCTAAATGCATATGGCTGGATAGAATGCAAAGTATCCCTTCTACTTCCTCATCCAATTTATTAAATGAACAAGTTACACAAATCAAACTGCACAGCAAAAAGAAAGTGGCTCTGATAGGTCAATAGGATTACAGAACTGTAACAATTGTTTTTGCAAACACAGTAAAGTGCTATTTTCAATATTTTTTATTTATTCATTGTGTGGGATGTGGGTGACGCTGGCTGGCCAGCTGTATTATTGTTCCAGGGCAATTAGGTGGCTAAAGTTAAAGGTGTATTCTGGTAACAAAACATTTGTGCTGCAAGCATTGAGAGAGATTAATGAGACAACAATTTTCATTTATGCAGTGCATTGAATTTAGTATATCACCCTAACGTACTACACAGCAGCATTACCAAACAAAAGATTACACACAATCGCAGAGATAGACAGCTGACCTAAAGTTTGACCAAAGATTACAGGTTTTAAGGAAGAAAGAGAGATCGTGCGATAAGAGAAGTTTAGGGAGCGAATTCTGAAACTTCAAGCCTGGGGCATGGAGCACTTTTTAAAAAAAAAGGTGTATAAAAGGTTAGAATTGGAGAAGTGCAGAGAACTCTGAAGGTTGTAATAGTGGTTCAGGTTACAAAGCAATGGAAGGGGGAAGTTATGAGTAATCTGAAAGTAAGGGTGAGAATTTTAAAATTGAATGTTGGGGGACTGGGTGCCAATTTAGGTCACTGGGTAACAATGAGGTGATAAGTGAATAGGAATTAATACAAGTTACGATATGAGCACCAGAGGTTTAGATAAGCTCAAGTTTATGGGGAAATGGAAAGTAGAAGCCAGCCAGAAGAATAAAACTCTTGGTAACAAAGGCATGAATAGATTCTGTCAGTGAAGAAACTGCCATGCCTTTTGAAAAGCTTCTTAAGTCCTATTTCAAACTGTTTTTGGACATTCTACAAGCTGGAATATTTGCTTTCAAAGAATGAAGATCAACATACTGCTGCACAGAAAACGTCAGTTTGGGTAAACAAAAAAACACCCTTTTGTCCATTCAAGAGAAAATTTGTTCTGTAAAGAAAATTTGTGGCTAAGCATTGTACTAGCCACTTTAGAATGACAGATTGCAAATGGATGGAGATTTACCACATAACAATGAGGTTTAATGTGTATCACAGTACAAATTTAAGTAAACATAGTATTTCAATAATGTTACTTTACCCAAACATAACAAGTCAAATGAGGAAGTAAGAGCAGTAATGCAAATGTTCCTCTGAACCTGCAGCACTATTCAAGATAATCACTGTTAATCTTCTGGCTCTAGTCCACTTCATGCTCACTCCCCATATCTGTAGAATCCCAAAAATCTAAAAGCTTGTTTCAGTCTTTAACATACTTAACCAGGAAGCATCCACAATTGTCTGAAGTAGAAAATTTAATAGATTCTCAACTGGTCTGAATAAACAAATTTCTCATCTCCACATTAAATGACTGACTCCATAACCTGACACTACGTGACCCCCAACAACCTTTCCAGATATCCCACATAGAAAAAAAATTATTTGCATGTCTACCCTGTCAAATCTTTAGAATGCACAAGCTTCAATGAAATCACCTTATTCTTCTAAATGCCAGAGAATATCAAGTAAATTAACTCTATTTTATTACCCTTTTAGGAATCAATTTAGCAATCCTTCACTGTGCCACTTTCAAAGCAAAATACATCATTTCTTTGAGATGGAAAGGAAAGCTGCAAACAATACTCAGGTACATTGTCACAAAAGTTCTACATTTTGTTATAGGAAAACTTCTTTATTCTTGTTCTCCAATACAGTACCCTTGCAAAAACAAAAGGGCAACGTACCATTTTCTTCCAAATTATTTGCTTCGTCTGACTATTAACTCTGTCCTTTTTGAATTCTGCTTTTATTCTTTCTACCGTAGTCAGTAACCTCAGGAATCTCCACATTATCTTCCATCTGACATTTTGTTGTCAACTCACTTAATCTGGATATATCTTTTTGAAACCTCTTTTTACCTTCTTCAGTTCAGATCCTTGCCTAGTTTTGCATCATCAGCAAACGTGAACAATACTCTTGGTCTCTTTGTAACCAGCTGAGCTCTCAGCACTTATCCTAGTTGCATTCCACCGGTCCCACTCTCCCAGTTTGATAAAAGCTCCATAACTCCCTACCTCAACGTCTACCTGCCACACCCCTTCAGAATGCATATGCTTCAATAAAATCACCTCATTCTTCTTAATACCAGAAAATATAGACTAAATTCAGTCTGTTAAATAATGCTCCATTCGTGCTTGTGTACTACCCTGAACTCCATGACTCTCAGCGTAATAAACTTGTGGCATGGCATCCTTTGTGCATCTTCTGATCCCCTTCATCTATCCAACCAGTTCGAGCCTCAAAAAAAAAACTTGACAACTTTGTCAAGCCTTTACAAAACTGGGCCACTGTAAAACTGAGAGATACAAGCCTTTCAGAGCAAGTGAGATTACCTCAAATTAGTAACTAAACAAAATAAGATTTAATTTTAAGACTGCTTCTGCAACTACTTACCTGAGTGGAGTTAACAAGTTGGTTTTTCCACGGCTCCTCTGCGCTGCTGGTCAGGTTTGTGCGGTTATGAGGTAGAGCTAGTGCGTTTTGCTGCAGGTAAGGCACATTTCCATTGCTTCCATTTCCTGTTACATGATTATTGCCTATAGAAATAGTGTCTGTATTACCCAGCATTCCCATAGTGCTGCATGTTACTGGGCCTCTAGGTGGTTCAGCAGGAAAAGGTCCATTAGCCATTAGCTGTCCAGAAGGAACAGGACGGATTCCAGACTGAACACCATGATCAGGCACTCTGGTTAGAGTGACGTGAGGCTGCTGACCAGAAATAGAGTTTGTAGGCAGTGATGATCCAAGCGTTGGCCCATTAGGAATTCCTGTAGGCCGTACCTGTGCAACTGTTGCCTGTCTCATCTGAATAAAGCAAAAAAAATTTCAAGTGAATAATTTAAACTCCAGATTTTACAGTCATCTTCATTGCACAAAGATATTTTAAGTAAATAAAATGCATTAAATAGCTGTAATTCACTTCAAACTCAATTTCTAGGGTCACTGAAAGTGACAAACTTTAAAAAAAAAATCCACAGGTGCAGCTTAATTTCTTAACACATCAGAAAAATAAGGATGGGAAGGAAACAAGCAGCATCATTTTTTGAAAGGTAATACACAGTAGCCACTACGGATTAGGCCCCTCAAACTGCACAAGTTAGTTCAGCTGACATAAATTTAATTTGGCACAGATTCTCAAGAACCGGCAACATACTTTTAGCTGAAGCACATCCATTGTATAACTTAACCATATTTCTGTGTAAAAGTGCAAAGTGGGGGGAATTTCTAAACTATATCAAATACAATTGTTCAGCTAACAAATTAAAGACCTAGAAGCTGAATAGACAGGTGAAAAAGCTGAAGAGGAAACAGTTAAAATGTTTTTGGCCACTTTAACTAATACCAACTTTTGACATAACCATGCCAGCTTTGAAAAATTAATAGCCTATGCCTCTACCCATACAGATTCTACTTCACTGAAGCTAATTTTCTTCCTCTCTATTGTGTTAATTTTCTCTTTAACCAACATTGCTTCCCTACTTCTTTTTCCTTTGTCTGTCCTTCCTAAAACTGAATTCTCCTGGATATTCAGTTTCCATCCCTGGTCACCATGCAGCCATGTCTCTGTAATATCAACTATATCACACCAGTTTATAGCTACTTGCACAACTAATTCATTCACTTTATTGAGAATGCTCTGTGCATCAAGATTCAAAGTCATAAGGCTTGTCTTTAACGTTCTTAGTCCTGTTTGATTCTTGCCCTCAAATTCTCTTCCTTTCATTTTGCTTTTTCCCATCTTCTCTTTTGTTTTTATCCTGGTTTCCCTCTTTTCTGTCTCCCTATATAGTTTCATAAGCCCCTGCGTTATTCCCCAGTTAATTCTGGTCCTGCCCAGGCACAACCCACCCAGTTAGTATTGGTCCCACCTTCCCCAGAAGAGGTCCCAGTATTCCAGGAATATGAAACTATCACTTTCCCTCCACCTCTCCAGCCACATGCTCATCTGATAGGTCGTTATTTCTATTCTGACTAGCACATAACACTGATAGCAGTCGTGAAGTCACCATCTTACGATCACCATTAGGTGTTTAAAAAAAAGTTCAAAACACAAAACCATGACAAAGAATGAAAATAATAGAAAGACAGTAAGCTTTATGCTTTTCATTTAAATTTTCTCAAATGTTAACATTAGAATAATAAACCTATTTTCGACAACCAAGTAGTCTTATGACTCACAGTATTTAGGCATTTTTTGACTGGCATTAAGTAGTCAGTTCTATGCACGTGATTATGTAAATCCCTTTCCCGAAGAGTAGTGTACATTCTTACCTGCTGCTGGTGCTGTCGCATCAAGGCAAACTGTCCCTCAAGCTGTTCCAGCATTTGAAGCTGAAGCTGATTCAGGTTCTTTCTATTTGCACGCAACTGTTCCAAAAACTAGAAAATTGAAAGCACTTAGAAGCATTAATGACCGAGAGTCAAACATGATTCAGTTTTATGTTAACTAATCCTAAGCAAGCTACTGATACTTATTTATTGATACTGCTATGAAGAAACTTTGTTACTTTTGTTTTAGGATTAAAGTTTAAAGGATTGTGGTTAGTGGCTCATGTGCAAAAACTGAGGTTACACCTGCAACCACTTAAGGGACACATTGGGACATTATTTTGAAAGCCATTTCTTGAAAATCAGATCGCTTAAGCTAATTGCTTGGTCTAATTTACTGGAAATTACATGCCTAGGTTTACAGTTGTTAAGAGCTAGTTTTTGCTTTGGATAATGTTTGACATTCAGTTGGAGTAAAGACTGCTGAGTGAGAAGCTCCAGTGGTCATCCTCTGCCTTTCTGAGAAAAACCCTTTGGTCAGGTGAAGTCTTCATCTGACCGAGCAGCAGCACTCCAAAAGCTTGTGATTTCAAATAAAACTGTTGACCCGGTAACCTGGTGTTGCGCGACTTCTGGCCGGGTCCACCGCAGTCCAACACCAGCATCTCCACACTACTCTATCCAGGCCTCTCAGTATTCTGAAAGAATCAGATCAGAGCTGCCCCCATTCTTCTAAACCTCATTGAATACAGACCCAGAATCCTCAACCGCTCCTCATGACAAGCTCGTTATCCCTAGGATCATTCTCATCAACCTCTTCTGGACCACTTCCAATGCCAGTCCATCCTTCTTTAGACACGGGGCCTAAAACTGATCATATTATTTCAAATGTGGTCTGACAAAAGCCTTGCGTTTTCAAACCTAAATCACCACCTCTGCCACAAACAAACTGGCATAGGATCAAACATGTCAAAGATTAAATGCACAGTTTAAAGAATGTTTGGGATACATGACATTTCTGTTCATGGCAGCAGCTCTGGGGAGAGGAGGAGCTTAGATTCAATAGGTTGCGCTGCAGTTGGACAGGGAATAATCTCCTCTCCTGGTGAATCTTACAATTAGATTGCAGATAGGTCATCATACTAAAGGAGAGAGGGAGATGGTCCAAGTGAATGGAAGTTTACAAACCTAAAAAGGCAAGTCAAGACCACGGATCAGTATACTGCAATAGTCCGACGCACAGATCTCCAAGGCCCTTATGTGGCAGCAACTTACGAAACCTAAACTCCATGCATCAGCATACTAATTGGCGTGTGTGGAACCTTGGAGTGGCTGGCAGCTGTGCAGCTTAGAGGGTAAATTGGTGTAGTGACCTTGGTAAGGACAAATCCGTTTAACAGTAATAACGTATTTGTAAAAGACATCAAGTCAGGGAAAAATTGTAACAAGTTAAATCAAAGGCATTTTACCTGAATGGATCAAACATCTGTAAGAGGACAAATTAATTGATGGCACAAGTAGTGATAAATGGGATAAATTTCATTACTTAAACATGACTACACAGAGACCAGCATAGAGAGCTAAATATTCTATGTCACCTGAAGTTTTAAAAATTCTATAAAATGGAGGGGCCCCTGATTGAAAAAAAGCATGCCTGAAGGTCAGAAGAGAGAAAACAAAAACCAAGATTCAGAACAGCAGTTGGTAGCATCAAATGAGCTGTGATGAGAAATGCTAGTGGCAGTGATTAACAAATTTCCAACAGTATGTTATCGTTAGACTTGAGAATTAATCAAGAAATAAGAGGTTTAGAGTTCATTTTTACATGTTAGTCAAGTCAAATAAGCCAAAGTAGTGAGGCTTGTGTTCATAAAATGCATTGAGACAGAGAATAGATACAAGAATCAACAATGGACACAGTATCCTTGAATTTTCAAAAGGCTTTTGATAAAGCACTACACGAAAGGTTTTTGCACTCTGGCATAGAGGGCGAGTCAGTTAAACTTCAGAAAACAGGAGGAATATAAAGGGCCATTGTCAGGTCATAAAGATGTTATTGCTGGAATGCTGCAATGATCACTGCTAGGACTTTAGTTATTTACAATCCGTATTTGTGACTTGGATGAAGAGACCAAGTAATGTGTTCATCAAGACAATATAAAGCTGGGTGGGCAATTAAGTTGTGAAAATTTTTACTTAGTGTTAACAACAATGATGGTGAAACTACTTGATTGTTATAAACATTCATCTGGCTCACTAATCTCCGAGTGAAAATAATATTGCCTAAACGTGATCCCTGACTCTCAACAGAGTTGAGACTCATCTGGCCTCTGAGATTGACTGCTAAGTCACTTGGATGAATTCAACGGCAATTAGGGATGGCCTTACAGGTGATGCCCAGAATGCTTGTGAAAGGACTATTAAAAATTTGGTCAAGTATTACTCTGACATCAAGTTCCTTTTGAAATCAGCTTTTCTGAACACGCCTGAGCTAAATCTATATGATGACCTGGAGCTGAGTGTTCATGGTAGGATTAGTCTATGCTGTGGTGCATATGCTATTTGATAAATTTCTGGAAACATGTTCAACATTTAAAATCACTATAAAATTAAAATAGCATAACAATGCAACCTACCTGTAATTTTTGAGAAGTCAGGTACCATGATGGAACCTGCTGTTGCACTGGATGGTGTGGTGTGTGACCACCTGACCAGACATCTGGAGCATTTAGCTGAAAATAGAAAAATCGATGAACATTTCTGATTTCCAATGTAAGTGCTGTTACAATTCTGCACCATCGCTGAACATGGCATTTATAAAAGCTTAGTACAGAAAACAACTGTACAAATAAGTGGGGTTTCGAAGCAACATGTTTTAAATTATACACTGAAATATATATTGGAAACCCTGAACAAACTTTGAAGGCCAGATTGCATAAACTGTTGGATATATTGTCTACATAGATTTGACAACAAACGTGGTACATTATTTTGTAACAATTCATTAGAAAACACATCTCGCTTCCAAAAACCATCTCCTATTTAGGCCTTCTACTTGTTAAACTTTGCAGCTATCTTCTCAATCACATCCTCAACACCACTTCTGGTGCTCTTGCCACTATTTAAACCATTATTTTCTCCATCTGTAGTCCATCCTCTGGATACAGACTTCATTTTCACTTCTTTAAATCCAAAGGTTGCAAATACAAACATCTGATACTTAACTGGTTTAGTCCAGACCTGATTAAGCCACATCAAGTAACATTTAGGCCATGCCCCCCCCACCCTACTCATTATTCTGGCAACATCCTGCAACGTAAAAGTAACCCCAATCCCTTAACTACAAGCAAACTCTTTAAAACCTCCACCACCCCAAAAAAAATGATTGGGATGCTCATGGGCTGTCATGAAAACTGACTCTTTCTGTTCAGCAATCTCAACCATACACCACCTCCCTTCTCCAAGTCCACTAAGCAAAGCTTTCAAGGTTCTTACCTTCTATAGCCCTAAGCCACAGCTTCCCTTTGCTTTCGCTGTCATTAGAGAAAAATGTGCTTTATATCACCAGGTTATAAATTTATTGTGTTTTATTTTACATTGTCTTAAACTGGCATGTAAGATCCTTCTATCATTGAGGCTATTTTGCCAATTCTTGCAAAAAACAACTAACTATTTTTCACAGTACACGTAGCATAGAATACTTAACTATTCTTAAAATGTTAAAAATGTCCACAATAAGCATATGTTTCATGTTCAGAGTACATTTTACATTCAATGTATGTCATATTGGGCTGTATTAAATCTCTCAAGATGAAATTATTAAAAAGCATTTATTTCAAAAACTCAAATTTTCCTCTTGTTCCCCTTTCATTTGAATGCTAAGATCACCTTGCTGTCCTTAAAGGACTAAAACAGAACCAAGTTGAATTACTACCTTAGTAGGACTGGACATCCTTTTCCTTTTAGCAGAACTGGATAGATCATCTACTTGGTTAGAAGGAACCATGTGTAGTGGTAAGGACTGCTGTGGCTGCTGACTGAGGCCTACTAATGGTTCATTACTGTGATGGTGAAGTTTACAAGCCTACACACAAAAGAAGAGCATTGGAATAAAACTTTTAGGAAACACACCCATGTACTTTCAAGACATTTTTTCTTTCTGCTTTTGATTCCCCATTGGCGTGCATTTGTGCAGTAGTAATCACAGGATATATTTTTCACCAGCTGAACAATGACCAAGTGTTATTTGGACTAAAATTTTATTTTTATTTTTGTCAGAGTTGAGTACCAAGGAAAGAAAACATAGGAACAGATCTGGGCAATCATTGTTGTAGTTAACTATCAACACTGCTTTATGTACAAATAGTGCAAAGTATTGCATAAAATTGGACGGTTCAACATTTACTTTGCAACAGCTTGAGAAATCACCAATTTTGATCTCAACAGCTCTAGGATCTTTAAAAATATTTTGGTAGATAATCTCAATGCCCCAAATAGTTGTAATTCCATGAACATATTTCTTCAAATCCTACCAGTGATGCGTTTTGCGTAGTTACTATTGGTGTGCATGTGTGTAATTGTATTAGCCACTAAAAAGTACCTTTAAAACTATAAAGCTAAAATGCTTAAGTACAATTGAGGTACAAATAATTTTCACCTGCTGAGCTGAATTCATGGCACCCTGCCTGGAGGTAAGTTCTGCTGGGATTGGTAGGCTCCATGCCTCCTCAATACTGGGAAGCATTTTGGTTTTACTTTGTAGGCTACCTTGTGGAAGGTTGCACAACTGGGCCTGTAAAAAGTATGTGATGTGATTATGTAAATGAAAGCTAACTGATCAGTCATACAAACCACCTAATTGCTCAACAATCATGTAACACTTTGTGGCTTTATGATCATACTAAAATTTCAGTTAAACTTGTGGTAGAACACATTTGTGTGAAGTCTGAGCAAATTTCTCTTGTTTAATTTGTTATTTTCCATTGTGTGCAGTGAAAATAAATCAGTTAAAATCAGAACAAAACTAATGTTAACTATTATACAATATATTTTATACAAATATGATTTAGAATTTAAATTGTAACAATTTTCTCTTGGTAATAAGGTACATTATAGTGAATAAATCTCCCAGGGATGGACAGTGTCATTAGTATCTTTGTCATATCCCCCTGTTCAGTTCTACTTGAATTTAATATTAAACTAAATGTACAATTAAGTCTTTCAAAGCTGCAGTTTCCTTTTAGTTGACTTATAAGTAGACCTCATATTTTTTTAAACATCAAACTACTTAAAATGCAAAACAAATCCTAATGCATTTCCATATAACCAGAAAAGGAGTGAAGCAAACACTAATAAGAGTAGAAATTCCAATTATATGTTTCTCACATCTTACTCATGGCTTAGAGGGAAATCACAACAGCTGAACTGCAGTCAAGTAAGTAATCCAAGTTGTGCCACTTAGCCTAAAGAATACTGAATAGATTCAAAGAGTTTAGGTGAGAGTGCAGAGAAAAGAGAAGTGAAGAGAAATTGAAAATCAAAAAAAGTATCATCATAGGACATGGATTCAAAACAGTACAATATAAGTGAAGAGAGTAAATAAATGATTTCAATAAGGGCCAAAATTAAAACTTCTAACAAGCGCATGTGTTTGCTTTTCCAAAGAGCTGCTTGCCCATGACTAGTTGTATTCCTTGGACATTTTCATTCAATACATTTTATACCCTCAACAGTAATATCTTGTAACAAAGGTTTAAACCTAACAGTAGAACTTAGCCTTTGTTTATACATTATAAATAGGACGTTAGCTTAGTAGAAAATACAGGGACAGAAAAGGTAGTTATAAGAGACTAACTGCTATTTCTAATGGAATAGAGAGAGAAAAGAGGAAGTTTTCAGGCAAATAAAGAAATAATAATTTGCAAGTTAAAGTAGTCACTGAATGAGGGGGTTAGGGAAAAGTAGTTTACACGCAACCACACAGCATTGGATACACTAACATTGTTAAAACAAAATCTTTGCTTTTTAAAATGGGAGCAAAACATTTGAAGCTGAGAAAGATAAAGTTTACAGGGAAGAAACAGGGCAGAAGTATTAATTTTGTCCAACAGGGAGTCAAATAGCTTTTCTCTATGCCTTAAGTTTCCCATTATTCCTTGCTGCATTCATAATAAACAATATTTAGTACGTGTTTCTATCGAGAGAAAGGTACACCTATTACTAAGAAAAAAAATCAAGCTGTAAGTATATAATTCACAATTGATTAGTGCCAAATACATTGAGATATATTTTATGAAAAGTAGATTACTATCAAGGGCAATATGGTTTAATGGGCAAAAGCATTGTATGGTGTTTTACAATGCCGTACAGGATAGAACATCCTATGTTTCTTCTGTGCCAAATTAGCTCAGTTCAGAAGAAACAAAGTACCTTACTGACAAGGTAGATTGGGGGCAGGGGGTGGGTGGGGTGTGTCTGGCAGGATATGTGGAGAGAAATCAGAGTTAATGTTTCAGGTCCAGTGACCCTGCGTCAGAACTGGACTAAAATGTTAGCTCTGATTTCTCTCCACAGATGTTGCTAGACTGCTCAGTTTTTCAACAATGTGTGTTTTTGTTTCTGATTTCCAGCATCTGTAGTTCTCTTGATTTTCTAGCCGATATTTCTTCTGGTGTCACCTTAAAAGGCTCACTGATACTATGTTCAAGAACACACTTGGTCAGATGAGAAGATGGAGCAGTGATTGGATCAGTGGCTGCATATGAAGCATGCATAATAACAATAGCTGAGTCCCAATTAACAGCGTACAAACTGTAAAATGATTTTATCTTTTCCATTCTCAATTTCCTCTCCCTTGCTCTTGAAGGGGCTAACTTATGTAGGAGTATGGTTCTGCAAGTGCCAGGAACCTTCCTGCAGAATTGCAAAACTACTCCCTCAACTTGATCAGTGAGATTTGGGATGTGTTTTCAGAAGTCATTGCATCCAAGCAATCTTATCCTCATCTGATACCAGCAGATTTCAGGCATTGATTAGTGAACTGCTCTATTCAGCAGACAGCTCTAACTAAAATCCTGGTTATAAGCAGTGATCTCAGCAAAGAGCACAAATGTAATCTGGGAACTTCCTAAGTAATACCAAGTGCATTTTGCTTAGCAGGCCATTTGAAGATGCTATCAAATGGATCTGAAAATGTCCTCAAATTATGAAGTCAAATAAAGAAAGATACTGCAGCTTTAACAGAAGTGTTCAATGTCACTTGCATTAATGGCTTATGTAGAAATACTGTGTAGGCAGGTAGGACTTAAAGAAAACCAGAAGAGCTTTGCACTTAAGATACCATATAGCAGGTAATTTTGGCAAAAATGTTAAATAACACTTTCAGTAATTTTCCCTTCAAGTCAGAGTTGAAGCAATGGAAAACAACTGACTGCTTTCTTCAGACCTCCATTTGAAGCTGAATATAATTTTATCAAAGTAATTCATATAACCTGCTATGCAGTACTGCATAAAGCTAATTTGATTTAAATTTAAGGTTTTCTAATTTAAAAATGGCAGTTGAGGTCATCTGTTACAATTTACTTAATGCTTAAATTGCCCATTCAAATTATATTCCTTGGAATTCTGTCTGCATGGTATATTATTAACTAACTGATATAAACCATGTCACAGCTTTAAAAATATCTTTCATTATGTGCAATATATTTAGTTAATAACAAACCATATAATTTTTGTCTAATCCAAAAGAAGTAAATCCTTCACTAAAACAGAAGTTGCTGCAAAAGCTCAGCAGCTCTGGCAACATCTGTGAAGAAAAAAAATCAGAGTTAATATTTTGGTCCGGTGACTGAGTAAGGATCACTGGACCGAGACATTAACTTCGATTTTTTCTTCACAGATGCTGCCAGAGCTGCTGAGCTTTTCCAGCAACTTCTATTTTTGTTCCTGATTTACAGCATCCACAGTTCTTTCGGTTTTTATTCAGTATGTAAATCCTTTAAATTGATTTGAAACAAATCATTTAATTTTTGAGAAGAATAGTATATTTAGACAGCACACCCCAAACCACTTTACCTGCAAGTACTTTATCCTTGTTGTGAGTGCAGAAGTATTACTACAATTTTTGCTCCTGGTTGCATTTATGTAACATTTAATTGCATCCTGAGGTTGATTGCAGGATTCATAGAGTGTTCCCAGGTCCATCCAGGCTGCAGCATGTCCATGGTCTAGCTGAACAGCACAGATATAGGCCTGTAAAGCATCCATTGGCTGGTTCTGTTGCTGATACAACACCCTAAAGCAGTAAACAAAGTGGCAATCAGAGCTGAGTAGATGCAGATAATGAAGTGACAAACTAATATTTCCAGAGCACCTGTTTATCTCTTGCCAATTAGCTTTATGTATCTGCAATTTCTTACCCTATTGAACACCATGTATCAGCACTCGCTTCTGACTTATCAATGGAATGCCTGTATGATAAGAAGGCATCCTGAACTTTGCCAATGCTTGAATAGCACCTGTAAAAGAAATAACTATAATTCAGAACACATATACACAATCAAATGTTATTTTGCAAACTCAAGTCTCCAGCTTTCAATGCTTTGCAATCTATTCATAAAAAGTTAGATCCAATGAAGATTACCTTTGCATGTAAAGGAAACAAAAATATTCTAACACCCAAGATATAGAGAGTAAACGATACATGAAGACATGGCTCACTTTGAATATGGCCTCTACTTTGTTTCCACAAATGAAAACACTTAATGAAACATTTTCTTAAAAATACCGATTCTTGGGAATTCACTCACTGTTGATAAAAATCAGCATTTATTGCCCATCTTTACTTCCCTCATACTTCCATCTAGGAAAGGTTTGATGAAATAGTAGCTTTGTGGACCCCTTCAGTGACAGTTAAGAGTCAGCTAAACTGGATGTGAGACTGGTGCCACAACATGGTCAGGCAGGGTAAGAAAGATTCATGTTTACATGCATATTTAAATAACAACTAGCACTAATTCATGATTTCATGATTACTTTGACGTTTAAAAAATGAACTCAAATTCCCAAACCATTATGGTTGCATAATTTAAAACTGGTACACTGTATTTTAGATAAATTAAAATAGGTCTGTATATTATTAGTTTAGCAATATTACCATTACAATACTATAGTCATTTGCAGGAGAAATGCAATAGAATATAATAGTCTTTATTGTCAGTGGAGAATTGGAGTCAGAGGACTAGGAATTGCTTGATTCAAAAATGTAGGATCTACACTGGTCAGTCTTCTCCTGGACAAATCTGTACATATTAACAGTGTTAGTAAACAATCCTCAGTTCTTAAGAGTAAGAAGAGGAGAAAGCAAGTGGGGATACAATAAAATTAGACATCCAATGAGCCATCAATTTGCACGGTCTGAAAGTAGAGACAGAAAGGAACTTTGGTACATAAAGATTAAAGATTAAAATGTATGTCAAGAATGAGAAAGGCAAAACCAAACTTGGGCACATTAATATTTTTATCCATTCTAATTTCACATAAAAGAGTTAAGCACACCCAAGTGATGCATAATGAGAGGTGAGCAATTTTTACTTCTATTGAGAAGAAATTCAAGTCAAATCAACACCTTGATGAAACTATATAAAGCATGAAGATCATTTCATATAGCTGACTTGCAAATAGTGTTCATACTGAAATTAGTGGTCATAACATGAGGTGAATGAGCTTGAGCTTACATTACTTAGTTTTTAAGATTACACTCTTTTTTAAAAAGCAGAAATGGCATCGTACTATGTAATTCAGGAGTAGGGCTGCCAACCATTCAACACTTTCTGAAGGGTCACTGGACTCAAAATGTTAACTCTGATTTCCCTCCACAGACGCTGCCAGACCTGCTGTGTTTTACCATCAATTTCTATTTGTGTTTCTGATTTTCAGCATCTGGAGTTCTTTGATTTTATCCAGTCCAATATTTTCCTGCAGTTTCCATGAATTAAAGATAAATCTCCAGAGGACTGCTGCTCACAACCTCAGAAATGACATGCAGCATGAAGAGAAATGTTGCCGACCTTTTCCCTCGAATACTTTAACTTACTAGCTATTAAAATACTGGAAATTGGAGGAAAAGATTTGTTGGACTTATGGAAATAATCCAGTTGTCCAAATTTTCTATCTAACTGGTCTGAGAAGGTGGTTTGTTTGGAGAATGGGTGGATTGTCAATCAATGGTAGGTGTTTGCAGGTGAGGTATCATTGACGAATCCTATAATGGATTCCAGAGTTAGCAATATATTCAGGATTGAAGTCACTTCTAACATGCACCACTAGCATCCAAGTAGTTGTTTTAAATTTCTAGCGGTTGGTTATCCTTTGAGGCATAGTAACAACATACTACAGGGCAAAGCTTTAGTAGTTTATATCAACATCAAACAATTTTATAATTTTTCACTAACGCAATGAGATGAGGGATGACTTGGGAGGTGCATGAATACTGGTATGGTCTGGCTGGGCTGACTGGTTTATTTTTGGGTTGTATATTTTATGTTCTTTGATATAAATATGCAATAGCCTTCCTGATTTTTGGATAAATCTACCACTTCCTAGTTGCTCACATCAATAGTCTTATCACTATCTTTAGAAATTCATTAATTTCTTTATGGCATCAATTCCACCTAAACTTTTCCAAAATTTCCTTGTTTGTTGCCATTCTCATTTTAAGACTGAGTGGAGATTGTTAATCTCTGAGGCACGTCATTCAGTTTTGTCATATCACATCACATAAGGCAATGGCTATAATCAGGCTAGATAAGATTAAGGTCAAAACTTTGTCTAGAGCAATTCTAACACACATGGGTGAAAATAAGAATCCCAGTAGCTTGGACTGCCTTGCAGATAGTTCTGTAAAAGTTGTACAAAGGGAATGCCTATTAGTGACAATTGTGGCCGAAGAGGATTTCATATCCATGAATAGTAGTAAAGATGGCGATATTTCACAGGAACCAGGATCATTATGGAATGATGAGCTGAAACAATTTATAACCATAGTATAACAGTATTATTTTATTCTGGTCTTGGTCCTCTACTAGGCTCACGAGCAGTATGGCCAGCCGGCTGGAGGTTTGTGGGGACAGTCAGCAGACTGGGGGCCTGAACAGAGCAGGGACAGCCAGTTGGCTGACGGCTTGCAGAGAACTGAGAAGTCCAGCACAGCTGGAGGCTCATGGGGAGCAGGGACGGCCAGCGGGCTGAAGGCTCGAACAGAAATGGGTCAGTTGTTGGACCGGGAACCAGGTGCGGGTGGTCAATGGCTTGCGAGCCCAGGCAGACCATGTGTTGAAGCTCCCCGTGCTGATCTACTGAAGGACTGCAATGCTTATCTTTTTAACTTTGTTCTCATTTTTCTAACCTGTACGATGAACAAATGTAAGTAACGTAACGTCTTTTCCCTTTGTTTTTCCCTTTAATTTTTGTATTTTGTACCCAATCTGTACCTACGTACTTTGTACCGAAGGTAGCGCCATTTGGGGTGACATTGGAAACTTTTCACCGTACTTCTGTACGTGAGTACACATGACAATAAAGGATATTCGATACTCTATTCTACTAACAACATTGTTAACTTTTCTTCAGTACTGCACTTAAGAATCTGGAATGGCGTAAGCCGGTTTCTGCCAGTCAAACGAACTTAACGATTTTGAATTACAAATTCAAGAAGGAATAGATCTGTCTCAGCATCTCTGTTGAATTCATTCAAGTAACAATAAGAAATTTGAAAAAACCGAGTGTGAGAAACAGCAACATAAAAATCAGAAAAATTGAAAATTGAAAATGCACAGATTAATTGAGTATCTGAAATAGAAAAATTACTAAACTGCATCAGAACTGGATTTAGTTTTATTTTAAATATGCAATTAGATTGAGGATCCCAGACTTTTCAAATAACTGATTCAAAACTCAACATTGGATCAAGTAACTATCCTTACCTGCCAAGGAAGTACCAAGATTGGCCAGAGTTAGGGTCTGCCTCTAGAGATTTCTGGAGATATTGAATAGCAAGACGTTCCTTAGCTGTTTTGTCTCCTAGTGGCTCCACTGTGTGATGCATCCAGCCTGCAATACAGGAACATTAACTAACTATATCCCTACTTTTGTTATAAAGTATGTGTGGCATCACATGTTTAACAGTACTCATTCTGCTTTCATTTCAATACAATTTTCTGGTGGAGTAAATTTGGTTAATAATGTGAAACATGATTATACCATTGTTCAAATTATTTTATGCATCAATTTCTTTCTTGTAAGGAGAAAAGTTAATCTGAAAAGAATATAGAAGAAACAATAATAAAATTAGACTCTGTTTGAACTAGGCAACTTAAAATGCGTACACTGCTTTACCAGCGAGAAAGAGCAACAAACAAATGCAATTTTAACCTACTAAACTCTGTAAATTAATGAAAATACAAAACTCAAATACAATTAATTCAATTAATTGTGCAATGAAAGGTCACTGTCATGACAACATTATGCATCACCCCTTCCTTAACACTTCAGCCTGCATTGTGATGCACAACATTTTTTCAATTATCATCTAAGTGCATGTGCTCTTAAATGGAATGAGAATCTCCTGTAAGATCCGAGTAAATTAGAATTATATCTGGAAAGTGATACTGTCCTATAACTGATTTTAGCTTCTGTAACTTAAGATGTACAATCTGGCTTTTGTAGCAAATGAATCTCAGGATATATATTCTTATCCCAGTGTCGTTCTCCCTTGCATGTGATTCAAAAAGATAACCTTTTTTATGATTTCTATGCAATTTCAGTGTCACAAAACAGAGTTTCTCTTTCTGTGTGATGAGCTTCATCTGACCATTAACATTCTTCTCCAGTGTCTTAAATGCTCTAGCTGTTGCACAATTATTTGCTTGCTCTACAGTCTCAGTGGCTAGGTTTGAACTGACTGTGGGTCTGCTATTCCTTGTTGATGTCAGATTATCACATTAGAGGACAGGATTGGTGGGAACACAGCATGCACTAGTGAGATAGTGATCTTGGCAGGATGTGTTGATGTGTGCAGATGCGCGGAGCTGAACAGCCACCTTCAAATGGCTAAGTTTGCGTTCAATAACCATTAGGTTGACACACTTTGGATTCTTTGGCCAAATGTTAACCTTCATCTGAGATCCTTTATTACTCGCACTTATTCAATAACCGCACATGTTTGCTATCAGCTAACGCGAGACAACATGGTCTAAGATTTGGAAAAAGCTCACCCTCTCCATGACAATATAGGAAATGAAAGTTGGATAATAAAAAAGGTTGTACAAATATTTTCAACATTAAAAAGCAGAACGGTAGATTAAAAAATGATTCAAGCTTGCAAATGAGCAACATTCTAAGTTTTAACAGCTTGATAAATCTTAACCAAAGTTGATTTTGAATTCAACAGTAGAGTGTACATTCTATTACAGGTCCAGACATCAAGACAGCAGTGCTTGCTTTGCAGGAAATATTGAGCCAACACCACAGATGAATTTAAAAAAACCTTAATAATACAAACATTTTAGAAAGTATCACTGACACCGTTATTGAACATATGTAGTTGGAACAGAGGGAGGACATTTGGCTCCTTTATCAACTCTGCCATGCAATAAGATCATGGCTGATGTGATTACTCCACTAGTACACCAGTCCACAACCCTCTATGAATTTTCATTCAACTGATCCTCAAGAGTCGACCTTTACTTCAAAAGAATGCAAGAACACTGCTTCCACCAAGTTTTGAGAGAAACAGTTCAGACTCAAGATCTAAGAAAAAAATCTTAATTTCTATCTTAAGTGGTCAACCACATATTTTGAAATAGTGATACCAAATTCTATATTTGCTCAGAAGAGCGAGCATCATTTGCCTATGCATTATATGTAGATCTTCCCAGGACCTTGTATACTTCAAACAAGCCACATCTTACTCTTTTAACTCCAGCTAATACAAGATGAGCCTGTCACTTTTTCCTCACTAGACAACCTGCCCATTCCAAGCATATGTGTCTAGGTCATCTTGCCTGGATAACTGCAGCTCAGGCAATGCTCAAGAAACTCAATGCCATCTCAGAAAAAAAAAATAGCCCACTATATTGGCATTCCAGCTTCAACATTCACTCCCTCCACCACTGACATACAATGGCCACATTTGCAGTGGGTCAAGTCCTCCCCATCTCTGCAGCTGATGAAGCAGTATCCTCCACGGTGACCACCACTTGGAGGATGCACTGATGGTCACAAGGCCACAGAAAGTACCCTGTGGGAGAACTTCAAAGTTCATTACCAAGACGGTAGCATCAGCACAGAGTTGGCCAAGTTCTAAAGGCCACTGCTGCTATATTGGGTCTGAAGCGGGTGCTCAAGCAACCAACAAGACGGAGGGAAACAATCTACCCGTCTTCGCCCTCACCAATCTCCCTGCTGCAGATGTGACCATCCATTACATATCTTTTGCAATAACCACTGCACAGTCTTCATGAAGTTGGTGTTTACATTGCAATACCCTCCATCATACTGTGTGACGCTATAAATCTACTGAATGGAGGTCAAACAGATCTAGTAACTCAAACCTGGACATCCGTGGGGTGGTATGTACCATTAGCAACAGCAGAATTGTAATGAACCACAGTCTATAACCTTGTGGGTCAACATATCCTGCACTCTAGGATTACCAAAAAGCTGGGAGATTAACCTCGGTTCAAAAAAAGATGCAGAAGGGCATGCCAAGAGCAGCAGCAAACATACTCAAAAACAAAGTATCAACTTGATAAAGCTGCAACACAGCACTATTTGTATGTCAGACAGCAGAAGAACATGCAATAGATATGGCTAAGCAATTTTACAAACAACGGTTCGACAGTCATGTCACAGCCAGTCCTGAATGATGCAGGACAATTAAACGTTGAAAGAAACTTAAGCTAGGAGTCAGAGGGCTAAAAAGGGTCATGAAAAGTCATTGGCCAACAGGATTCAAGAAAATCCCAAGGCTTTTTATACATATATAAAGAGCAAGAGGGTAGCCAGGGAGAGGGTTGGCACACTCAAGGACAGGGAAGGGAATTTATGTGTGCAGCCAGAGAAAACAGGTGAGGTATTAAATGAGTACTTTGCGTCAGTATTCACCATAGAGAAGGACTTGGTGGATGATGAGTCTGGGGAAGGGTGTGTAGATAGTTTGGGTCATGTTGAGACCAAAAGATGGTGGTATTGGGGGTCTTGAAAAACATTAAGGTGGACAAGTCCCCAGGGCCTAATGGGATATACCACAGAATACCGAGCGAGGCAAGGGAGGAAACTGCTGGGGCCTTGAGAGAAATCTTTTCATCCTCACTGGCTGCTAGGGAGGTCCCAGAGGATTGGAGAATAGCCAATGTTGTTCCTTTGTTTAACAAGGGTGGCAGTGATAATCCAGCTAAATACGGGCCGGTGAGCCTTATGTCAGCAATAGGGAAATTATTAGAGAGGATTCTTCCAGACAGGGCTTACTCCCACTTGGAAATAAGTGGGTGTATTAGCAAGAGGCAACATGGTTTTGTGAAGGGGAGGTCGTGTCTCACTAATTTGGTTGAGTTTTTTGAGGAAGTGATGAAGATGATCGATGAGGGTAGGGCAGTGGATATTGTCTCCGTGTACTTCAGTAAGGCCTTTGACAAGGTCCCTCATGGCAGACTGATACAGAAGGTAAAGTCGCACGGGGTCAGGGGTGAGCTTGCAAGATGGATAAAAAAAATTGGCTTGGTCACGGATGACAGAAGGTAGCAGTGGAAGGGTGCGTTTCTGAATGGATGGCTGTGACTAGCGGCATTCCTCAGGGATCAGTGTTGGGACCTTTGCTATTTGTAATATGTATAAATGATTTGCAGGAAAATGTAACTGGCTTGATTAGTAAGTTTGCAGATGACACAAGATTGGTGTAATTGCAGGTAGCCATGAGGACTGTCAGAGGATTGGAGAATAGCCAATGTTGTTTCCTTTGTTTAAGGATGGCAGGAATAATCCAGTTAATTACAGGCCGGTGAGCCTCACGTCAGTGGTAGGGAAATTATTGGAGAGGATTCTTCCAAGACAGGATTTGCTACCACTTGGAAACAGATCGGTTAGTGACTTGGGCAGAGAGATGGCAGATGGAGTTTAATCCAGAAAATTGTGAGATAATGCATTTCGGAAGGTCTAATCCAGGTGGAAAATATACATTAAATGGCAGAACCCTTAAGAATACTGATAGGCAGAGGGATCTGGGTGTACAGGTACAGAGCTCACAAAGTGGTAACGCAGGTGGAGAAGGTAGTCAACAAGGCACACAGCATGCTTGCCTTCATTGGCCGGGGCACTGAGTTTAAAAACTGGCTGGTTATGTTGCAGCTTTATAGAACCTTAGTTAAGTTGCATTTGGAATATTGTGTTCAATTCTGGTCGCCACACTACCAGGTGGCTTTGGAGAGGGTACAGAAAAGATTTACCAGGATGTTGCCTGGTATGGAGGGCATTAGCTTTGAGGAGAGGTTGGCGAAACTTAGGTTGTTCTCACTGGAACGACGGAGGTTGAGGGGCGACCTGATAGGAGGTCTACAAGATTATGAAGGGCATGGACAGACTGGACAGTCAGAAGCTTTTTCCCAGCATGGAAGAGTCAGTTACTAAGGGGCATAGGTTTAAGGTGCAAGGGACAAAAAAGTTAAAGGTGATGTATGAGGCAGGTGGTTTCTTTTTACACACAGAGGGTGGTGAGTACCTGGATCATGCTGCCGGGGGAGGTAGTGGAATAGAGGGATACAGTCCCCGGAAGGGTAGGGGGTTTTAGTTGTGATGGGCAGCACATTGGTGCAGGCTTGGAGGGCCGTAGGGCCTGTTCCTGTTCTTTGTTCTTAACTCTATATAGAGATGAAGGCTCTACAAATACCAATGATGAGGCAGCAGAACACAGGGAAAAAGACAAGGCTTCTACCATGTTCAGCCAGAAGTGCCGAGTGCACGATACTTCTATGCCCCTTGATGAGATACACAGAAGAATCATAGCTGTTAGTCTTCAACCAAATGTGATAAAAAGGGCTAAAGATGCTAAATACGGA